CAACTGTGACACTTTTTCATAATATGGATTTGTCACTGATTCAAGTACAACAAGCTTATTTCAAATAAGCCACTGAGCAGCTATCAGAAAGTAAATTTTTTTAGTTACTACTAAACTTGTTTGGCCTCAAACCAGTGAGCTACCAGTGAAAGAATCCAAATTCTGTTCCTGCTGCTTGAATCAGCCAGTCCTGGGGAATAACTCCACAAGTTTATTTGAAACTGGCACTTAAGACATCAAATGGTGTTGCTCTGTCATCAGCATAGTTGTTGCTTTTCTATAAATAACAATACCCAGTGATTATCACTTACTCTTTGTATGAGTCACATGTGAAGAGCTCCCCGAGGTGCTTCACAGGTAGTCCTTCATATCATGAATCAGAGAGAGAAAACAATCTCTGAAACACTGCCATGCCAAGAGTTTCTAGATACCTAGAGAGTATTGTCCCTTATTTATAGCTTCAAGCTGTAGGGCAATTTAACAGAAGTGACATGAACAGTCATAGAAGTTTCTTTGCATTAGTTACTGTTCTCGTTGAATAAAAAAGGATGGAGAACTTATTTCCACCATGCAACAAAAATGTTATTCAATACTGAAATCTCAGAAACAACTTTATAAACAATGATATATATGATGCATGCAGTACTGTTTTCAATGCCTTGTGACTTTCTAATGCTTTAATCAATTGGAGTGAAATTATACATGTTTACTAGCTAAAAGGAGACCAGTTATCAAATTTAAGTCAAATCCAAGTTCAGTCTTTGAGTGTAAGAATGGTAAGCATTCCTCATTATGAAATAGATGAAAGCTGTATAGCAATTTTTCATAGCTGTGTGTCTGTTGGCAAAGATTAATATATGGCCTAAAATTTGCCCTTAACATTAAAAAAAAAAAATTCCTCATATCCCAATGAAAGTAAGTTTTAATTTAACTGAGAGGCAACATCACCTTCAGTTTAACTAAGAATGGTGTCATGGTTTTACTTATAGATTCATAGAGTCCAGCTTATAGGAAAGGTAAAATGGGGTAGGAGCACAAAAAAGGGGAAAAAAAGGTTGCTTCTACTCAAAAATATCTGGGAAACAGCAGCCTGCTCCACAGCCTTCTGTTAATTGAGCAGGTTGTGGACAAGGCCAGCAGTAGTTTTCTGCAGAGGTGAGCCATGTTGCTCACCTCACTTTTTCAAGATATTCAAATGTGACTTAATTTCTCTACTATCGCCTCAGCTTTTTTGGCCTTTTCTTTTATTGTAACAAAGTATCCAAAAATAAACAAAACCCTACAAGCCTTTATGAAAGTCCTTTCTTTTGCTTATGGGTTTTGTTTTGTTTTTTCAAAGTCCCCTTTCTCTCTGCTGCTGCAAGGGCTCAGTGGTTTATCATGCTGCTTGAGCCAGCCTTCACACTTTGGTGTGCAACAATCTTTATTATTCCTAACTGGCAGACATTTCTATTGTCTACTTAGCTGCACCATGGCAGCAGGGAGTATTGTACTCTTAACCCAGAAGGGTCTGACATTATGTAAAACTTGTTTCATGATATCTTTGGGCTGTGATTATTCCCTGCTCCAGTTGGGAACCACAGAATCATAGAAAAGCAGAGCTGGAAGGGACCTTAGGAAACCATCTATTCTAACTCTCTGCTCAGGGCAGGATCATCCCTACCAAAACCATCCTAGACAAATGTTTGTCTAACCTGTTCTTAGACACTTCTGGAACAATCCTCATAAGCAAATACTAGGCAATGCCCAGTGCTTCTGAGGAAGGTGAAGAAAACCTCAATGCCAGCAGCAGAGTGAGCCAGAACTCTCTATCATGTGTCTCCTCAAATAAGCCCATGCCAGCTCCTTCAATCTTCTTTCATAACCAAGCCAGTTGTGGAGCTCTGCTTTACTCTTTTTCAGCTATTAAGAATGGTCCGCTACAATTTCTACCTGCTCTGGGCTGTACAGCTCTTCTCGTGGTCTCTGAGTTATGCTCGGAGAGGTCTCTGAGGAGTATGTGTGTAGGGTGTTGTGGGGACGTGCGGGAATCTCCTGGGCTTTCCAACTGTTCCTCTCACAGCATGCTCCTGAAGAATGGCCAGTCATGGAGTCTTGAGCTTACAGGAAGAGGATTGTACTCCAAACACAGCCTTAAAAAAACAGCAGGAAGACAGTGGCGAACAGTCTGTAGCATCCTCACGGGGAGTATGTAGATTGCCTCAATACCTGTACCTTGCCTCAACTCCAGTCCTTACTACCACTACATGCTCCTGTCTTGATATCTATAATTGGCTTGTTCCTGCCTATGACTCTCAGCTCCTTACTTCTGGAGTATTCCTGCCTCTTAGCTTTTGACTTTGGTCCCTGGTTAAGGCACTAGCCACCTACATCCCCTTACCTGACATCAAGGCCCTTTGATACAATACCTGTCTCTCTTCTAGGCCTTCCACCGGAATCTTCCTCATTTATTTGGCATGTTTTTTCAAGGCATTTGTGGGAAACTGCAGATGGTTTTATACAGATCTCACTCACTTCCTGTTTTTCCCAATGGTCAGCTTTTCTGAGCCCAGAGCTGACTCTGGATGGGTGCAGGGCCTGGGGCAAATCAGTCTGTGTGGGGCCCCTTTAACACTTCACAGAGCTGTGGGACCCCCACAAAGGCAGGGCACAGCAGTGCCATAGCAATGAAAATTGGCGTGGGGGGGAGCAGATCCCGCATGCCCTGGACAAGCTGCTCTTCAGCAGATGTGAAACCAGTGGCATGCAGCAGGGAGAGGTGGGGTGGTGAGCAGTCTAACGTTTCTTCTGCGGTGTGGGCTGAGTGGCCAGCTCCAGGTGGGCCATGTGGGAGTGGCCGTGGCTGCTCCGTGGGGCCCCCCAAAGCGTGGGGCCCAGGGGGGTCTTTCTGATTGGCCCTACCCAAGGGCCGGTACTGCCTGAGCTACTCTACAAAGTAACAGCTGGAAGCTTCTTATAGACCTGATCCTTTTCAGCCAGTTTTGCTAGACTAAAATCACATGTACCAGCTAGGAATCATAAGCCCTAAAACTTCCTGTAGATGGCAGGAAGCAAGCCATTGTGAAATTGTCTTAAAGAGCCAGCTGTTTTAGTGTAACCGCTCAGTAGGCACCTACCTACATTGCAGCAAGATGAAGAAATTTTCACAGGTTGCTTGCAGTGCACAGAACTGATTTTGTAATCTTTTTGTGGCAAGCCCCCCTTTACTGCTGATTTCCATAGGGCCTGGAGGCCCTGCTATTCTCCCTGATTGGCCAAGAGGTCAGTCACTCATCTTCAGACTACAGCATGGCATGTGGCTTCTTAAAAGATGGTGCTGAACCCTTTTCGCTTTTCTGACTGGCACCTTTACTAAATCTATGTCACTAGCTCAGCCTCTCAGCAGCTCTCTCTCAAACAATGTGCTCTATGGCTAGAGAGAGTGCTGTGCTTTCTTTTCATTCTGGTAAGCTTTTATTTTAATTTTTTTTGGGGGGGTGCAATTCCAGGCAAAATTGTAGGAAATCTCAATTTTTGCAGTGACTGCAGAAACCATTTTTTGTGGTTTCCGTGAAAATTGCAAAACTGTGATTAAAGTAGGTCCCCACTGATTACAAAAAGCAATAGCGTTAGTACATTGTTCCAGTAATAAATAAAATCATGCAAAACATGCTTTAAAGAAACTCTTATCATTTCTCTTTCAATTGTTTTGGCAGGCAGTGCCAAAACCAGACTTTTTTGAGTCCCCCCCCCCCCATATAACTTGAAATATTCTCATTTTACTTTGTAGGCCCATTAATTTAAAAAAGTTTTCAAAAAATGAGCATCATTGTTACTGTATATATTTCTGAAATACACGGTAACATTAATGTGGGAAAGATGATAGATTCAGGGTGTTACTTCTATTTCAGAACCAGTCAAGGAAATTTCAGTATTTTTTAGCTTATCATATCTGTAAATGAAAAATTAAGGTATCTTCTCAAACACAGAGATGCAGAGGAACCATAAAATGTAAGGAAATCTGTTAATTTTAATGAACAGCTTTGTGAGATGTAGAACAGATTAACCACTGGATAAATTCTGTGTGCAATAGTGATTTAACAGTGATTATATTCTTGCCTTTCATTTTCTTTTACTGTAGGCACATGCGTGAGTAGGCCTGGCTCATTTCAAAACTTGACTTTTTGCTGAGGGTATTTGGATTGAAGGTTCTCTATGTAAAGAATCTAGCAATGGCCATAACAAGGCAAGTAAAAAGATGAGGAAGGGAAGGAAATGAATGAACAGAAGTCAAGAAAGGAGAAAGGATATTTTTCTGGACTGAATATAGCATTGAGCAGTGGCAATGTTCTAGCAAGTAAATGGCAAATTTGCCAATCTAATGAGATCATTCAGTCAGTTTTAGTCTAGGAGCAGTTTGCACAAATTATCATACCTGGATCTCTCCCAGTGCTTCATTTGAGTCAAATGATGGTTTTGTCATTCATTTTAGTGCAAGGTTGCACCTCAAGAAATGTATGTCTGTATCTGCACATGAAAGTATTTCTGTATATTCTTTTTTAAATTAAGAAATAGAAGTGTATTTTTTAATGGTGACTACACAGAAGATATTAAAGAAAAAATGTGAATTACTTTGTCATCAAATATACCATATTACTTTCATGTTGTATTCCATGTACTATAAACTTTTCCCTTGGCTTTCAGAACATCATATTCTTTCAGTATCCACAATTTCTACATAGTGTTTAATTACCATATAGGTTGCATTAAAAAACTATCATGATGATTAGTAGGACTATAAAATATAACAGATAAAAGCAATTGTCTATATACAGTAAGATGGCCAATTCATTTTATTAAATCTTTCAGTGGGAATGTCATTTATGAGTTAGCCTCTTTAACCTAGCTATCACAAGAGAAATGAACTATTTGGGTTGTGCTTAAATCCATCCTTCTGTCTATATAGAAAAAATCATATATCTGACAGCTGGCACCTTTAAATTAAATACATGGTTAAAGAATAGTTTATGCACCATTTTATTTGTTTTTCAGGGTTACAATATTAATGAGATTATCATAGAGAGCACATAATATAATTGATATCATTAAACACATTTTGCCACAAAAGGTTGAATAGCAACGGTAGAAAATTCTTTGTTAAGATATGTGAAAATACCTGTAACCATAATTTCATAAAATCAATGTACAGTACACATTATGTAACATTATGCCAACAAGGTATTTCTTTATGCAAATACTTTTTGCCCTCTATAGATAACTGCAGTAACTACACTGCAACAGACTCTTTTTTTGGTGTGTGGATATATATGCAACATACAAGAGCAATAGTTTCTATTTTATCATAATTGTTAATAACACTGGTCCCAGAAATGGTGAATTACAGTATCTTAATTTTAGCAAATAACTGTCATTCTGGTTTTTTAACTAATGCTGAACTTAATTGGTATTTGCCTCCTAATGTTTACAGAACACTGAGAGCACATTTCATATATATTTATTCTTTACCATCAATATACTGCCTTTTAGTTCAGTATCTACTATATACAAAGGAACTCTGTTGAGTTCACACACTTAGGAACCAAATAATATCAATTTTCCTTAAACCCATGCACAGTGTCGTGCACTACAGAATAATTAAATGTGATTTAATTTTTTTAAGGATGAATGAATCAATATAAAATAGATTTGATAAAACATTAGCACGTTAATGGAAAGATAAAGGTGGGAGCAAACTAATAAATCATGCATTTCAAAAAGGTTTTATTTTCTCATGGGATGTTTGAGAACAGAAAACATGCAATGATGAGGTGCAGGTCATTCTGTATGAAGAGCAATGTAAAGATTGCACAAAAAAGCATTTTACTGTAGATCCAGATTGTAAGTTTATATGCAACATTGAACAAGGTTGTCATTCTCGGACTTGCCTTAGGCAATTCAACAGTGCCATGCAAACCATAGGCAAATACCTGTGCTGTGATTTCTAAGCTGCTGAGAAGTTTCTCAGAGAGCTGAGAAAATGAAGACCTGAACAACTGCTTCCCAAATCATTTTAAGAGGAAAAGTTTTGATTCATGGAAGCAAATTATAAAAAGGGAACTGATAACAGCATGTCCGTGCTGTCAGGAGATGGATTCAGAGTATGAGAAAGTTGTGTATGGTGTAAATGTACAAATGACAGTAAAAGAAAATTAGATATAGTTTTAATTGTGCAGTCCTCATCGTATGTGTCTGTGTTTATTACTGTATGAAACAAATGAAAGGTGAACACTTTACTTGCAATTAATTGAATGTTTTTCCTGTCCTAGAATTAGTCTGGACATTGCCAAGGTAATCAAAAGAACTGTAAATTTTCAGAAGTGAATCTGCTCCAGCGTGCCTGATTAATTATGCGTTAAGCCATTTCTTTGAAGCATCCTTCACTAAATCTTTGGTGGGAAATGCACTTTATTAGCCATGAGGTTTGGTTGTTTGTGTGCATACACACTGCACTACTGGTCAATATGCAAAATGATTTAAAGTTTGGCATGCTACAAAGATTTATTGCTGAGTAGAGCATTTTAACGTTTCAGCAAACAATGTTGCTGGCTAGTTTTACAGGTAGTATTATCTTTTGTCTTAGCATGGCCTTAGTCTTGTAGCCCTTAATCAGGCAGACTTTCATTAATACTAGATCTTGCAAAAACTTACACATGAGTAATTATATGCATGCAAATAGTAATGCAGGTCAGCTGAATAAGATTTTTTTTATGTGTAAAGTTACTCATGCCTGTGTTTGCAGTATGAGAGATATCTTATCAAAGATATAAATACTTGAGTACTATTTTGTGGGGTTAAAATGGAAAAGAAAAGTATTCTTAAGAGTGGGAAGCAATGTTAAATGTAAAAGTACGAGTTAATGAGACCTGTGACCTTTCAGGCTCTTTTGTGACAGGTCAAATCAGTTACCAATTCCAAACATCTTCAGATTAAGAGAAGCAATTATCAAATCTATGGATTATGATAACTGCATTAGAGTAAACTAGAAATGGAATCATATCAAGAAAATCAAATTACTTATGGCATTCCCTTCTTGTATTCCATGGCAGAATTATCTCATAAATTAGTAAATGGTAATGCATGCAACAAAAATATGCCATATCACTTTATGTAAACATCTGCTTTCTTCATGCAAAATGCCTACAAAACCGTGACAATAATTTTTTCTAATAGCATCATTTTACATTAGCTCAGTCACAGAAACTGCTATACCAAATTCCATGATTCTGCAGGTAAAGAATATTCTAAAACTCTTGAAAGATTTCCAGCATGAATATTCAAAAGCCAATGCTACTAATTTATTTTCTAAGAACTCAGCTACAAAAGCTTATTCCTTGCTGTGGTTCCTTGTTCTTTTGATGATGGAGGAGAAAAGACCAGTTTTTGGAGGAGGTCCCATCAGTATTGGGGCTTGATTCTTGTGGGTTATTTTTATCTAGGGGAGGAAAAGAAAATACAGTTAGTATTTAGATAGCACAATCTCTCTTGTATTTTTGCAAAACACCAATGTAGCTGAATCATTTTGGATCTTAAAAATTAGCTCCTATGCTTTCATATATCCAAAGATTGAAGAAAAAAAATTAACATTTTTTTTATACCTAATATTTGAAATGCCATAAAGCAAATCCATTATATTCAAGGTTATCATGCATAATTATAATTATTTGTGTTATACTATTAAATACATAATAACTTCTTGGCAATATGCTACCTATTTGGGAGATTTATAACCAGCATTGTCATTGCTTGGATTTTAATGTTTTATGTATCCATGGGATGAAAAATAATTTAATAGCAGGAAAGGACACATTGTAAGACAGGGCAACAAGTTGGTGCTCATTATTAAAATATACATGGTGTTGTGTTATAGTATATGTTATTTATTTTCCTAATCAGATTGTTCTCTTTTAACACAAAACACAGTGCTTAATATCAAAATAACCATTGGAATTAAAGTAAAAAGTTAACATGTAAAAAAAAAGATGAACTAGTGTTCTAATTTGTTAATTAATTGGCAATAGAATAGACTCAAATATTGAAAAGCCTGTTTAAGCACTTTGAAAGACTGCTCTAAAGCCACCCATTTTGATTTCTTTGATATAAAACTACGAATCACCTTAAATGAGACAACCTTAAAGTAGATTATGTCTGCAATTTTCTCTAATTCAAGTCTAAATTAGAGAAGACATTTTATGAATGTATGCTATGCTCAAAGCTAATTGAAAGCAATTATCAAAGTGGCATTTTGTCTGTGACTTTAAGATACATTGTAAGATAATAAATGATTCTCATTATGTAATAAAAAGGTCACATCTTGCCTTTGGGCTAGTGACGCTAAGAGTTTTTCAAAAGCAATCTGAGACATTTTCTTTAGTGAACTACGACTAATACAAGAACCATCACTTATTAAATATCAGTTGTCACCTGCACAGTACCCACATCAGAGATGGGTATTTCTTTCAAAAAGAAACACCACCTCATTAAAAACTGCAAAAAATATATCTCTTAAAGTGCATACCTGACATTTTCAAGTTAAAATAAATATCCTTCACTTGTCATTCACTAATAGTAATGAAACAAAAAATGTATGCCACGTGGAAAGGCTCATTAAAATATACAACAGGCTATTTCTTAGGATAGGAATTTACTTTACAATCTAAAGAGACCAAAACATAAAAATCTTCATGGGATGAGTAGGTTTATTTAACTACATTGGAACCTTAGCTTACTCTTCACATGCACATTGCAATGCTATTATATAACTTCAGAATAACATCAGTATTCACTGGCATCAAATTTAGTTTATCTTTCTCTTTGCTATTAGGTTTTGATTAATTTCACCCGGAGAAGTATTTTTGCTCTAGAGACTTGGTGACGAAACATTTTTTCACAATAAACACCACTTCAGGTTCCACTTTGGAGGACAGATTCTCAGCTGGGGTAAATTAGCATAGCTCTATTTATGTCAATTGCCTGTCAACAAATGATCCAGCTCTGAAAATCTCTCTCATGGCTTGGTATAAGTCATACATCACAGGCATAAGACATGTTTGGCTTTGGAAGTGGTGACAGTGGCCACATACAGTCAGCCTGATCACAGAGTTCAATCATGAGCTAATCAGCAGCTACTACTTGATTGAGCCATTTTTGGAAAACAGCTGGTGCAGGTATCTCCAACCCCCCCCCCCCTTGCTTCTCACATAATTCCCTGACCATCACAGCTATAACAACACTCTAACCCTACTAATTTCATTGAGAATAAAATACATGGAGAATATTAAAACTCAACCATGATGAAGCAGCAGAAAATTTTCTTTCCACTGATGTAATTTTATAATTCTACAAATCTTGTTCTACCCAGCCAGAGAGCAAAAGGCAAAGGATGGCTTTAAAAAAAAGTGGAGGGGTATCTTGAGGACTCATTCTGGAATCCCCTAGAAGGGGAGGACATATTGTGTCTCTCAGGACAACTATAATTACTTTCTGACTAAATTATTTGTAAATCTCTTTCATTTGAACCAGCTATTCTGGATACCAGCACCCCTCTCACACTTTTTTATACCATTGGATAAGAATAACTAAGCACTTCAAATACATATTCTCTGAAAAGGGCTCCAGAGTCTGAAACCTCAACCTCTTTTGTGTCTGAGATCTAGAACCTCTTGACTTATCATGGAGTGTTTCTTAGGTTCTCTTCTCAGGCTTTTCTGAAGGGAGTGGTTTCAACCAGGAGTGAGAAGTCTGAGTGGAAAAAGCATATAGTCTTATTATGCTTGGAGGATTTAATATGGACATGGGGGTCAATTTGAACATTTTCTGTAATTATTCTGAAAGATCAGTGTATACGAGGGTATACAGCCTTAAGTACATCTTTATAAATGTGGTATAGTGAGCAGATCTTCAGCTAAAATAAACCAGCTTAATTCCACTGACATCAAATATATACATAAACAAAATTTAAGCTGAAGAGAGTAATGTATGACCTTGTATATGAAGATTTATGAAATATCTGGGGGATTAGTTATTAAATTCAACCTATCTGCTACTCTCTGCAAACACACCTATGTCATCTCTTATTGAATTACATTAAAAAAAGACCCAATATCCTTAAGGCCCAGTAAGCACATACAAACTCTCACAAAGACACAGGTAACAGCTACGTGAAAAGAATCACAATCATAAATATGCCCATTCCAATTTTTAAAAATGGCAATATTTTGCATTCTACTCTAAAACCATTATTTTCACTAACTGTTGATACCTTTGTAAAGTCAATTTGTAGAAATTTTATGGAATACTTTGAGTTCTAGAGCTGGGAAAATTTACTTCATTTTCTTGGACACAAGAAATGCAATCATGGATAATTCTTGCAAAAAAATGACAAAACATGCAAAGCTGATGAATAGATTGGCAAGAAAATGCTTCTGCTTGGAGTAACTTTGTATATTTAGGGGGGAAAAATCATAAAAACCCAGAAAAGTTGCATCCAACAGGAAATTGTAAGCTCAGATACAAACTGTGCAAGGCAGATTTTGTATGTGTTGTAAGTTCTGTAAATAACATTATTGTAAGCCCCTTCCAGTCGTATGTTTATGCCTCTGCTGAAATCAATGGCAAACTCCCATTCACTTCTTCAGGGCCCAGATTTCATCCTATGAGTTTGTAGTCTTAACAATGAAGCTTTGCAGACTGTGACATCTAATAAATGGCTCTAACAAAAAATTTAGCATTAGAAATTTTAAAATCACTTTTGCAGTCCTGGAAAGTGCATTTAATGATATATTTGCTGAAAGGAAAACCATAGCCAGTTTTGAAAACAGCATAATTCTTAAAATTAGAGATGGTAATTGCTCTCTATTTGAAGATAACTTCTGTAATAAATGAGAAGTCCAAGTCTGTGATATTCAAGATGTTTATAAATGCATAAAATGGACATTTATTTCTTTCAGGAGCGGGTCCGAGCTTCAAAATATGCCTAGAAGCCGCATTAATACAGTGCATCCAGTAAATAAAACGCACTAGGGAGTAATATATTGAATGTATTAGCTACATTTCTTATACTTAACAGTTTTCCTTTTATGTAATTGGACTCTACAATATGCACTATTTATGTATGTATGCATTACTGATTTCATGGTATGCTTAAATAAGAGATCATTACCTTTCCACTGAAAAGAGAATGTGGTGCTATAAATATGGGAACTAATTAGGATCACCGATACTAAGAAACTAGAAACTGCAAATGAAGACGAGTCTTCATTTTCTCTAATTTCTGTTAAAGTGTTTGGATTAACAGTAAGGAAGTGAATTCTACCTTTTAGGGGCCACAAAGTAAACTCAAGTATGAACACACTGATGCAGTGCTTTGAGGGCTCTGTGATCACTTTACTCAAAGCTGTCAACAGAAACTAGCTGTGAGGTTGGCTGGGAAGTGTGCTCTAACATAAGGAACTGTTTCCCAGTGGAGAGGCTACTCCCTTCTGTGGGAAGGCATGGTTGCAGCACTGCTATTCCATACCATTCACCAAGAGTGGATGGGTCCAGAGGCAGCTCAGCTCAGTTCTAACCTTGAGAAGGGAGACCACACCGTGCAGAGACAAGATAGATTTGGAACCGTCTCTCCTGGCTTCTGCTGTGTTCATTTTGGCCAAACTCTTTGATTCAGTCCAATGATTTTAAATAGTGGGTTATGCCACACTTCTTTTAAATAATTTCTTAACAATATTATTGTGCAAAATGCAATCAAACCTAATCAGTTTGGCATTAATTAAGCTCTAATAATATACTCTAGTATCTCTCCTAAGTAGTGTGATCCGTTTCCCCTTCACACAGGTAGATTGGAAAACATTATGGTGTCATCATAATTTTTAAACATACTGAGAAAATGACAGAGCTGCAAAATTAAAATAAATGATTAATGGCATTTTTTTCGTGTTTTGTACTAATAGGTATCACTGAGCCTTTAAATTAATAGAGCTGTCAAGCTCAGGGTTGTTACAGATCCAGCACAGAACTAAAATGGAAATTATGTATTCCACAGACACCTAAAGATGACACTTTGGAATATTTTAAATTTTAATTAGGTGCAATTGTTTTCCCCCTCCCTCCCTCAAACCACTGCAAATTAATTGGCAATTAGTCACAACTAATTCTTTTCTTAACAATCTGAACTGGAAAGATAGGTGCATTACATGTTAGCATACTTGTCTGAGGTGCAGAAAGCACACATGCAGTAAATTGCATTGTCAATTACAAAAACTACTGTTGTGAAATTAAGAAAAATTATGCATAGGTAAACAAAACTAATTAATGCGCAATGTACCAGTGAACACAAAAAAAATAACGCCCAACTGCACAATAAAGTGTCAGACCCTCGACAAAAAAAAAAAAGTAATACAGCCTCTGCTCATTGTCATTAGAGAGAAACTTTTCTAA